CTGCCCAGAGGAGCACAGAGGTCAACCACAGGGTCGGGGGTCACCGGAACACTGAACTACACCACACACATCCGCCAGGAGGGGGCAGTGTTTCGCTGCTCAACCCGTCTGGGTCTCTCTTAGTATTTCGATTAGTTCTCTAATTACATTATTTTGTGCCATCTGTTAGATGAAGCCAACCACACTATTCCCAGTGCATGTATTATTATGAGTGTAGGAACAATAATAGGCGACGGTTGCATTAAGTATAAACTTAATAAGGCTTCAGAGTTTCAGTTAGTTAGTTTTCAAGAACGGTTTATCATAACATCATAAGCTTGACTGTTCACTCTAATTAATGACATCATAATTAATTAAAGAACAGCATTTATTTGAAATATAATATTTTGTAACATTATAAATGTCTTTACTGTCACTTTTAATGTGTCCTTGATGAATAAAAGTTTTTTTAGTTTTTTTTTGGTTTTCAACAATGATGCTGAAAATTCAGCTATTCAATTATTATTACACTGCAAAAAATACTTTTCTTACTTAGTATTTTTGTCTTGTTTCCAGTCCAAATATCTAAAAATTCTTAAATCAAGATGCATTTACTAAAGTAGTAAAATGCCATAAGATATTATGTCTTGTTTTCTGGGGTAATAAATCAAAATAAAGTGAGTTTTTGCTTTAGAACAAGCAAAATGATCTGCCAATGGGATAAGAAAAATAATCTTACTTTCTTACCCCATTGCCAGATAATTTAGCTTTTTTTAAGCAGAAACTCACTTTATTTTGATTTAAAACGAGACTTAATATCTTATGTCATTTTACTCATCTAGTAAATGCATCTTGATTTAAGAATTTTTAGATATTTGTATGTATATAACAGTGTATGCATTGTTAAATAAGCTAATTAAAATTAAAAAGTATAGGAACAATAATATGCGACGTTTGCATCTTCATCTCAGTATAAACTCAACAGTCGCAATTAATAAGGCGTCATAGTTTCACAGTTAGTTATAGTTTTGAGGAACGTGTCGAACGGTTCTTGACTCTAATTAAATGACATCATGAATATTTGCAAGAATCTGGCATTCCTGATCTTTGTCCTTTCGGATGTCCGGACAGGAATGCCAGCGAATCACGGACACCAGAACCGCCGGCGCGTGAACAAATGCTCTGACCTCATTCGATTCTGTCACAAAAATGCTTTAGAAATAAATAATTACCTACTAAAAACTCCTCAGCGCAATAGCTGGAATTCTCCAGCGCTGAGCTCATCTAATACAACAGGAGCCTAATGAAGTCGGACATTAATAGTGCTCCTGTCAGCATGTTTTGATTGCTTTATAATGAAGTGGTTATTTTAGTTGGTTTAGCAGCAGATATTAATACAATAGCCGTGTTGTGTGTAGGCGTTATTTAATCACGAAGCTGGAGTTGATCTCTGCAAGGGTCTGTAATTGACTCTAAATACTCTAGGTTTGTTTAGCGAGAACAGGAAGATCTGTGCTTGTGATCCGTCTCTGATGAACAGGAATTCTTTTGGGATCGGGATTGTTTCGTTCACATACGTGGACTGACATTTGTGCAAAATCCTTTCTGTTCCCAACTTATACAATTTTTTTTTAATCACAAACAATCCTGAATGATAGGCACTGCACTTCACTGTCAAAATAACCCGAAGCCATAAAATTATACTATTTTTTTTTTTTTTTTTATTGTCCAGAAAGCTTACTGTATTTCATTTTGATTTCTATTTTGTAATGCAATTTTTAGTTATTAATTTATTTTTTTTTACCTTTAAATTAATAGATTTGATCAATAAATAATAAATAAATAGCACATTCCTCACATTCTTTCAACTTAAATTCAAAATAACTCATGCCTAACCCTTTTAATTCAGCTCTAAATATCTTACATTGTGTGTCTTTGCCGACCTCTTGTGGAAAATAAATAATATAACATGATATTTCATAACTCTAGATGGCCTTATAGCTCTATATGGAGCAGAGGAGCTGTTCCGCTGGGTCCTAAAGTCAGTTAACTTCAGTATGCATTCAGATACACATGTAGACATTATAAAATATTTATTTTGGAAAATTTGAATTTGAATTGTGAGCATTTTTAGGTTTTTCTACGTGTAGTAGGGAGGTTAAGCCCAAAAAATAGGCCTTTGACTTCAAGTCATGATGCAAAGGTCTCCTTTGGTATGGAAGTACCTTAGGGTCATACAAATAAATTTATCCTAAGACACAAGTGAGATCACACTTTGTATCAGAAATAAACATGTTTTTTCAAAAATGGCCGCCAATGCGCCGAAAATACTCTAGAGCCCATATCTTTGCTTCTGTTATCGCTATAATGACAAATTTGGTGTCAAAGTGTACATTCTTGGGGTCAAGGAATCCAATAAAATTGGTTTCAAGTTTAAAAAAATAATAATTTTCCCCATACCATGACAATTGGGGGTAAATATGCACATTTCACATAAAAATTGTCATCAGAGTGACTTTACTTATCTTTTCGTTCAAAAACTTTAATTTTGTATTTAAGCAGTGCAGCTACTTCTGTACATTACATTTGTCCTAAGTAGCATGAGATTTCGACCAGTCAGGAGTAGCCTATAGCATATCAGTTCCTGCAACAACACATCCCATCTGCACCAGGAGCTGTGACAGCTGTTGAAGGTCAGAGGTGACAGGTTAACACTTTGAGGTTCGTATGACTTTCTCATTAAATAAATTTTTTTTTTTAATGTTAGATAACTAATAAATAGCTAGCTAGTTGACTATGGAAAAAAAAACCTTAGAGGGAAAACCTCTTTTCTCGAGAATACTGAAGCCAAAAATTATCCTTATAATTTGTATTAATTTAAAACACACTTGCTGCAGCTAGCAGACCTAGGCGAGGCAGCTCGCGCGCCTATTGGATGCTATGCGGCAACTGCTGCAACCTATCGAGGCACTGCTCGTGACGTAAGCACCAATGAGTGGGCGAATGGGCGTGGCTCATGCCTATATAAGCCAGAGCTCGATAAGATGCTCCTTGGTTTTCATCGACTGAAGCGAAACCAGATGGTAGCACAAGCACGGCAGGGTTACGCAACACTCATTCCCTCTTCTAGAGAGAACCGAGGTTACGTTAGTAACCGTGACGTTCTCTTACGAGAGTACTCTCGTGTTGCGTAAGCTAGCTTACGCTACGGGAATCCAATTTAAAACGCCGTGCGTGCTAAATCTACCACAACACTGACCCAAGGGCGAGCGCCCTGAGTTCATATGATATGGGGATATAAAAAGCCGACATTGGGAATGGGCTTAATAAGAATGATATAAGGTAAACGTGGTTACCTTAAATGCATAGAGGGTGCTTAACACGGTATAACAGTCAGGGGAGGTAATAGCCTGCCTGAACTGAAAACTTTGCAGTCCGCGGAACCGAGTCCGGCAGAACTGAGCGGATAAACTAAACTGACAACAGTCTAGCTTGGAGCGCGGGAACTTCCAGGTTATAGAACCCTATAAATGTAGACAGAGAGGCCCAGCCTGCCGCCATACAGATATCGTGAAGGGAAATCCCACTGGACCAGGCCCATGAAGAGGCATGCCTCTAGTGGAATGAGCTCTGACGCCCAGAGGGCAACGAAGGCTCTTAGATGTATAAGCCAGTGAGATAGCGTCCACTTTCCACCTGGAAAGGCTATGTTTCGAGGCAGCTAGACCTTTAGATCGGCCACCAAACGAAACAAATAGCTGTCCTGACCGTCTGAAAGCAGCCGAACGTTCCAAGGGCCCTAACCAGGCAAAGGAGATTCACGTCAGACTCGCTGTCAGATCCGAAGAGAGAATGTCAGATTGAAGAGGCGGTGGTACCAGTACCAGTCGGTCGCCTTCCAAGGTTTCAGAGCTGCGACGCATTTCTGATTGACCCTGAGGCGAAACAGATCGGAGGCCCAAGCTTGAGACGGCACTCGTGCTTTCAGCCACCACTGCAGTGGGCGCATGCGAAGCAGACCCAGCTGGAGTACTGATGATGATGAGGCCCAGCATCTTCTGAAATCTCTTGAGCGGGACTATAGTGCCGCAATGTTCAGTATGCGCTCTGGCGATAGTCGCGCTGTCATTGACAGCGAGTTCAGCTCTGTGCCCAGAAAGGATATTTCCTGGCTCTTCGCCCAATTGACTGTGAGACCAAGATTCTCGAGGTGTTCGAGTAATATGGTCCTGTGTTCTATGAGCTCTGAATGAGATCGAGCTAGAATCAGCCAATCGTCCAAATAGTTCAAAGCTGGCATTCCCTGAAGTTTCAGGGGCGCGAGAGCCGCGTCCATGTACATCATAATATACAGGATGCCAGGGACAGGCCGAACGGTAGGACTGTGTATTGATATGCCTGGCCCTCGAAGGTGAATCTCAAAAATCGCCTGTGACGAGAGAATGTCAGACTCGCTGTCAGATCCACAGAGACTTGTGCTCTGAAAGGAGTGGCAAGTACTTTGGGGACATAATCATGTCTTGGTTTGAGGATGACCTTGGAGTCATTAGGCCCAAACTCAAGGCACGACGCACTAACAGAAAGTGCGTGTAAGTCACCCACCAGCTTGACTGAGGCGATAGCCACCAGAAAGGCGGTTTTCAATGAGAGATACTTAAGGTCCACAGACTGTAGAGGTTCGAAAGGGGCACCCTTCATGGCCTCCAGGACCAAGGAAAGGTCCGAGGGGGGGCGAGGAGGGTTCATCCTTCTAGCTCCCCTGAGGAAGCGGACTACAAGGTCGTTCCTACCCAGTGACTGGCCATGCGAATGTTTGACAAACGCAGCAATAGCCACCACATATACCTTGAGCATGGATTGGGATCTACCCTTATCCAAGAGCTCCTGTAGGAAGGAGAGAACCTCCGACACCCCACAATCTTGTGGATCCAGGTTGCGAGCTGAGCACCAACCTGAGAACACTGACCACTTGGAACCATAAAGCCATCTAGTAGAGGGCGCTCTAGCTTGCGTAATCGTGT